TCGGCCTCCCCCTCTAGGACGACCCCTAGCTAACTGAGCTCCAGCCTGAGCTGGGTTGGTGGGTGGTGAAGTAACTGGTGCTGAAGTTGTAGGCTGGCTTCTCTGTTGAGTTGGGCCTCCTACTAGGTGGAGACACTACCTCCTGATATTACCAAACTCTCCACACTCATAGCAACTCCCTGGTGCTGGAGGTGGGGACTGAAGGGAGCCCCGAGCACCGGGATAACTGGTAGAAGGACCTGGCATAGATGAGCCCTGAACTGATGGAGCATGGGACGAACTCTAAGCTGGAAGGGAACTAAGAGATGAGTGACCGTGATGAGAACTGGGTGAATCATGGCCAGATGATGCACCATGGTGAATCGGACGAGCCGTCTGAGCATGCCTATAAGGGCAACCCCTGCTGTGGTGGAACTGACCTCCAGACGGTACACCACTAAAAACACCTAACCCACGAGACCTGTTGGCCTCCCTCTCAACTCGCTCCTGGATGCGGACAATCTCTATCTGACGAGCAATGTCAACAACCTCATCAAAAGTAGCACCAGATACCCTCTCTCGGGTCATATGCAACCACGGCTGAAATGTGAGGCTATCAATGAACCTTTTGATCCTCTCCTTATCAGTGGAACCAACCAAACCGCATGACGGGCCAACTCAGAAAACCTTGTCTCGTACTGCATCATAGACATATCATGCTGACGTAACTGCTCGAACTGTCTGTGCAGCTCCTCTCTACGAGACTACGGCACGAACTTCTCCAAGAAGAGAACGGAGAACTCCTACCATGTATGTGGTGCTGCACCGACCGATCTATGCCTCTCATAAGCCTCCCACGAACTGAAGGCAGCTCCAGTGAACTGAAAAGTAGTGAACGAGACCCCATTGGTCTCCAGAATACCTATTGTATGGACCTTTGACATCTGTCCAAGAAACCCTCATCCTCCGACTCTGTCCCGCTGAAAGATGGAGGCTGGAGTCTACCAAACCTCTCTAGTCTCCACTGCTCACCAGCAGCATAAATGGTCCTTTGCTCGCAGGGACTTAACTAACATGTCATCAATGTAAACTTCCATGGATTTCCCTATTTTTTCTTCGAACATTCGATTTACTAGTCGTTGGTAAGTGGCACCGATATTTTTAAATCCAAATGGCATTACGTTATAGCAGTATGTGCCATATTTAGAGATGAAAGAGGTCTTTTCTTGACCATCCGGGTTCATTAGTATTTGGTTGTACCCGGAGTAGGCATCGAGAAAACCAAGGATCTCATGGCCGGCCGTGGCATCGATCATGCGATCGATGTTAGGCAAAGGGAAGGAGTCTTTGGGCATGCCTTATTCAAATCTTTATAATCTACACACATTCTTAGTTTGTTCCCTTTCTTAGGAACTACTACTACGTTTGCTAACCACTCCGGGTATTTGACCTCCCCGATGGACCCCATTTTAAGGAGATTAGTTACCTCGTCCTTGATGAAGGCATGCTTGAACTCGGATTGGGGTCTCCTTTTCTGCTTTACCAGATGAAACTTCGGGTTCAAGATCAGTTTGTGAGTAGTGATCTCCGGTGGGATCCATGTCATATCGAGATGGGACCAAGCAAAATAATCCATATTAGCTGTAAGAAACTGAATGAGTTTTTTCCTGAGCTTGGAAGTTAACCCCGTGCCCAGGTATACCTTTCGATCGGGCAGATGTTCGATCAGCACGACCTGTTCCAGCTCTTCAACCATTGATTTGGTAGCATCAAAATCATCGGCGGCAACAAAGGATTGAGGAACCTCGTAATCGTGGTCTTCGTCAATCCCTTGCTTGTCCGATTGGGTCGAGGCTGGCATGGATGATTGCTATTTGGCTTCCTGTTTCGCTAGAACCTGAGCCCTTTGTCGATGAGAGTGCTGATATTGGAATTACTTCATCGACGTCAAATATCTCCTTTGCGACGGGTTGTTCCCCGTAAACCGTCTTTATCCCTTATGGTGTTGGAAATTTTAATACCTGGTGAAGGGTCGAGGGCACGACCCTCATGTGCTGGATCCATGGTCTCCCGAACAGGGCGTTATATCTCATGTCCCTCTCGATTACATAAAACTTGGTTTCTCGGGTGGTACCATCTATGTTTACCAGTAACGTTATTTCTCCCTTAGTAGTTTCACAAGCCATGTTGAACTCATTCAGCACTCGGGCCGCATGTACGATCTGGTCCTGTAGGCCGATTTGTTCTACGACCCTCGATCGAATGATGTTGGCTGAGATACCTGGATCAATTAGCACACATTTAACTCGAGTTTGATTTATAAGTACAGAAATTACCAGTGCATTATTATGGGGTTGCATGATCCCTTCCGCATCCTCGTCGTTGAAAGATAGAGTCCCTTCTGGTATGTAATCTCGAGTCCGCTTTTCCCTTGTGATTGATACTTTGGTGTGTTTTATCATCGGACCTTGAGGAACATCGACCCATGTGATGATCATATAGATGATGTGCCGAGGCTCGTCTTGTTCATTTTGTTTATTGAAATCTCTGTTTGTGAAATGATTCTTAGCTCGGTCGCTCAGAAATTCTCGAATATGCCCGTTGTTAAATAACCGGGCTACTTCTTCTCTCAATTGTCGACAGTCCTCCGTTCTGTTGCTATATGTGCCATGATTTTGCATATTTGGTTGGGATCCCTCTGTGTTGAATCAGTTTGCAAAGGTCGAGGCCACTTGGTATCTTTGATGCGTCCAATGGCCGATACGATGGCAGTTGCGTCCATATTAAAGTTGTACTCCGATAATCGTGGTGCCTCTTTGGGACCGATAGATCTATCGAAGTTGTTCTTGATCATGAGTCCTTGTGAACCTTGACCTTGATCATTCTTCTTTGATTTCGTTCAGAGTTTCGCCCAGATCTGCTACTACTACGATCTCCATTATACAGCTGATATAGATCTCTATTCGACTTTGGTTTTCGGTCAATATCCTTCTTGATTCTATCGACAGGTCTGATAGGATAAACTGACCCATAAGGAGCCCCAAGTTCATCTTCCTCGACCCTGATCTTTGATTGATACCGATTATGCACATCGGCCCAAGTGACAGCCGGGTATTCTATCAAATTCTGCTTCAATTGCTGTGAAGCTACTGAGCTTCGAACGTTGAGTCCTTGAGTGAAAGCTTGAACAACCCATTGGTCAGCGATCGGTGGCAAGTCCATCCGTTCCATTTGGAATCGAGACACGAATTCTCTGAGCATCTCATTGTCCTTCTGCCTTACCTTGAAAAGGTCCGACTTCCTGGTTTCGACCTTGATGGCCCCGTTGTGGGCCTTTGCGAAAGAATCTGCAAGCATAGCAAATGAGTCAATAGAATTAGGTTGTGTTTATGGTACCATATCATAGCTCCCTTCGACAGGGTCTCCCCGAATCTCTTTAGCAAGATAGATTCGATCTCGTTATCCTCTAGATCATTCCCTTTGATATCATACGTGTAAGAGGTGATGTGCTCGTTCGGATCGGTCATTCCATTATACTTAGGAATCTTGGGCATGCAAAACTTCTTAGGTATTGGCTTCGGAGCCGCACTCGGGGGAAAGGTTTTTGTATGAACTTTTTGGGATCCAGTCTCTTCAATATTGGCAGTGCCCCCGGGATTCGATCGACCCTGGAGTTATAAGTTTCCACCTTCTTGTCGTTTTCCTCGATCTTCTGTTCCCCCGACTCGATTCTCTTTGTCAGTTCTTTAAACATCCTCATGATAGCAGGATCGGTCTCCGATTCTTTCTCGCTCGATTTCCTTGAAACCGCTCGACCCTGTGTACAACTTCTTGGGATAGCTCGAGTTCGACCCTGCTTGGTATGTGATTCTAGTTTTGGAGCCGGGCTATTGCTGCCTACTGAGCTTGCAACATTTCGAAGATTACTCGCAGGATAATCCTGCCATCTTCACCGCCACGTGCGCTTTGAGCGGCTGATCGGGCATCGCCACGGACGCTGCCTTCGAGATCGACTGCCAAATTTCCGTTGATGGCTACATGTGAACTGACATCGATTGGATCTACAGCCGGAACTCCATCGAGGCCAACCGGGGGTACATCGTTTCCTGGTGCTATGTTATCATTTTCGCCGTGGTGGTCGAAATCATTGTCATCGTGTAGAGGTGCTGACTCAGAGTTTGACATTTTTTAGTCATATACTCAAAGATACTTCAAAGAACAAGTGTAAAATAGTGTGTGTCACGAAAGTTTGTACCACGTAACCACTATTATCTTTATCCCCACGTAGACGCCAAATTGTCTACCCTAAAATCGGTTAACAATTGAATTTATACGCGGTTTTAAGGATACATGATATAACTTGGTACAAATTAAGAAGAATAAATTAATATTGAAATTGACGATAAAAGAATTAATGCAAACCACACGAGTTGAATAGCCTTGGCCCACGAGTTTAGTCACCCTTGAACCAAAAGATGTTTCAACTTACTTATGAACAGAGTAACAAGCTAATAAAAGCTAAAAAATGATAGTATATTGCTTTGTATTGCGTGAAAATGATGTGTTTTACAAATAATCAGACCCCCTTTATATAGTAAGGGAGTCCTACTCTTGATACAGTTCTATATGAGGTAAGAAATCTCATGATTAGCTAATTAATCGGCCTCTTCTTGATACTGCGGGGATTTTCGTCGTGATTCTCGCCCGATTGCGGATATTTCGGTTTTTCGTTATTCGGCTCGGTAAGCTTCCCCTCGATCTTGTTCAATCTCTATCTTGTTCGGTCTCGATCTTGGTCGATCTCGAACTTGATCGGTCTCTAGGTCATGAAACGATCAAACTTTGCACCATGGTTCGATATAACACGAGGTCGAGCCTTGATCTATCATGTTCCAGTCTCGATTGGTCACACAAAAAGGCAAACCCAAAAAGAAATCATAAATTCAAAGTCACTCTGTTTGTTATTATATATATATATATATATATATATATATATATATTTTATATATATATATATTTTATAGTTGTCTATTGTCATAACACATTGATTCTCTTTCAACCCCCTTACAGCGTTTCAACAGAGTGTTGTAGAGAGAGAAAGCGAGCCGGCCTTCGTCTTTGGTTGGCTTTGCTTCTCGGATCCATCTCCCTCTCTTTTTTCCTCTTTCGTTTTCAGGTAAGCTATCCTCTGCTTAATCAGATCTTGGTTTTTTTATAGCTTAATAGCTAATAAATCAAAACATTTCAGTTTTTGCATTGAGATCTATTAGCTGTGCTAAAAGAGCTATGATTTCTGATGTTCAATTGATGCTTTGTTTAGTTTTTTTGCCTTTTGTCTTCCTGATGTATTTACTGCTCTAATTGGTGAGATGAGGTTAGATTTAGGGATGATATTTTGTGATATTCGGTTGAATTTATGAAGATCTGTTATTATTATGATTTCTTCCCTTGTGAATCTGTCGTGAAAGTGATTTTTGCTCAGGATTTTCCTAGATCTACCATTTTTACTATTTGAAATGATTGTTTTTTTTTAAATAACATCTCTTGTTGTTGCATATTCGAACTGTTCCCATAATTGCTCTTTTGAATCTCTGTATACTCATTTTGTTTGTCACAAAACATAGCTTTAACTGAAAATAAGGATTTCTGCTGGGATATGAGAAAAACAAGGTTACCCTTTATAATGATGTCTGCAGTATTATATCATTTGTATTTGCCTAACTGAGAACTAACTTGACCGGGATTTAGTGCATTTCACTTGTCTAACTTACAAGTAAAACGTCCACCTCAATCTGTATCGGGATGTTTTTATGTGTTGACACCTAAATTTGTATATATTCTGCTAAACAGAAGTGTAATTATTTCAAAAAATTATTATATTTGTGCTCAGCGTCTACAAAGGGATTAAAAAAATGCAAACTTTCCACGCTGTGAATACACTAAGTTATCAAGGGATTCAACATTTTATGTATGTACAGAAAATTTGTTTTTAGCCTATTTGCACACTGTAACTCTCCGGCGAACACAATTCAATTGAACTCCCTTACACACTTAGCTACGCCACCTACTCATACTAGGTGCTCATTTTACTTTCTTTTATTTTTAGGTGAATTAAGATGGCCGACGGCGAGGATATTCAGCCCCTTGTTTGTGACAATGGAACTGGAATGGTTAAGGTTAGTTTGTGTTTGTATTCTTTTGTTTTACATAAAGCCACCGGTGATAGCTAAATTTTTAATGTGAATGAACTGTATAGGTTTTTTAATGAATAATTTGTGTTTGAAATGTAGGCTGGATTTGCTGGTGATGATGCTCCTCGAGCAGTGTTTCCCAGCATTGTGGGTCGCCCTCGCCACACTGGTGTTATGGTTGGAATGGGACAGAAGGATGCTTATGTGGGTGATGAAGCCCAATCCAAGAGAGGTATCTTGACCTTGAAATATCCTATTGAGCATGGTATAGTCAGCAACTGGGATGATATGGAGAAGATATGGCATCATACTTTCTACAATGAGCTTCGAGTTGCTCCTGAAGAACACCCCGTTCTCCTGACTGAGGCACCCCTTAATCCTAAGGCCAACAGAGAGAAGATGACCCAGATTATGTTTGAGACATTTAACGTTCCAGCTATGTATGTTGCTATTCAGGCCGTGCTCTCATTGTATGCTAGCGGTCGTACCACTGGTTAGTACTAGTCCTTCCATGATCCAAATTTGTCTGCCTGATGAAATAATTTTGAATTAACAAATAACTTTTGACAGGTATTGTGTTGGACTCTGGTGATGGTGTGAGTCACACCGTCCCTATCTATGAAGGTTATGCTTTGCCCCATGCCATTCTTCGTTTGGATCTTGCTGGTCGTGACCTTACTGATAGCCTGATGAAGATCCTCACCGAGAGAGGATACATGTTCACCACCACCGCTGAACGGGAAATTGTCCGTGACATGAAAGAAAAGCTTGCCTATGTGGCTCTTGACTACGAGCAGGAACTTGAAACTGCCAGGAGCAGTTCCTCCATTGAAAAGAACTATGAATTGCCAGATGGACAGGTTATTACTATTGGTGCTGAAAGGTTCCGTTGCCCGGAAGTTCTCTTCCAACCATCGATGATCGGGATGGAAGCTGCAGGTATCCATGAGACTACCTACAACTCCATCATGAAATGTGATGTGGATATTAGGAAGGACCTCTATGGTAACATTGTTCTCAGTGGTGGCTCCACCATGTTCCCTGGTATTGCTGATCGGATGAGCAAGGAAATCACTGCTTTAGCTCCAAGCAGCATGAAGATTAAGGTTGTTGCACCACCAGAGAGAAAGTACAGTGTCTGGATTGGAGGATCCATTCTTGCATCCCTCAGCACATTCCAGCAGGTGAGCTTTTATACTTCTTGGATTAACATTCTCCATTTCAAATTACATTTATTAGTTAGACTGATTTTTTTGTTGTCTTTGTGCTTAATCAGATGTGGATCTCAAAGGGTGAGTATGATGAGTCTGGTCCTTCCATTGTCCACAGGAAGTGCTTTTAAGGTGCTGTTATTTTTACTTAAAAGTGCAAGTTTCCTATTTGTTTTCCCGCTTTTGCTATTATGTCCCCAGTAAATTTGGTTTTGCTGGGATGGATTAGTTTGGAGGTGGTGGGGCTATGAATGGAGGGCAACAAACAATTATTGCCAGTGTATCTCATGTTTCAACTCAATTTGGGTTATCTTCTCAGCATATTTGTGAGGTGCCGCCTGCAGTGTCCTTTTTGGCCTGGCACCATCCCCATCACCATCCCCAGCTCGAAGTCTTTTCTCTTCTAGGTTGGTTGTAGTTTGAGGAGAGTGATTGTGCTGTTTCTTCCTTTGTCTTCTCTCATTTTCTTCTTTATCTGGATTCGCACTTTTGTGGTTCTTTTTATTTCTTAAAACAATTATGTTAATATTTATTGAATGAGAAAGTTTCTATTTTAGTGTCAGTTTGAGGAAATCACTACTATTTCGTGTGGATACAGAAATTCTGAAACGCATATTGACATAATCTTCTAGGCGTTTTCAGCAAATGTTTGAGGCTAAAAACGTCAATGCAGATTACCTTTGGATGAGGGATCTACACTTGGTAATATATTTGTTTCTTTCCACGAATTCAATATATGTATATTTACTATTAAATATGGCCTTGTCTTAGTCGGGACAAACCTCCTGGTCAATTGGAGGGATTTTCAATTGTATTTCCATGAGGTTATTGATGATTCGTTTAACCTAGTTTAAAATGGCCAATTTGCCCTTGTGCCAATTGATTTTGGCTATACGGCTATACAATCATCGAGGAATTATATTGCAACACAATAAAACCAAATTTTTGATGCATCGTTTTCCTATAATGGATAATAGGAATGTTTGGAGGAATGTTTATCTGAAGAAAACAACAAAAGATAATAGACTTTATAAAAGGGGGTGTGTAGAACACACCCTTGGCTTGGCTTGCAGAACTTCAAATCTCCCGAATGTAATTTTCAATTTTGACTTTAAAAACTCAGAATGCAAGTATAATAAATTTATAAGTTTTCAAAAATATTGAATTATTTGTGTTATTGTGATTTCGTGGGATCTTTGTGATTGTCAATTTTCTATAGAAAATACAAGCAGAATAAGGAGTCGCATCCTCTTTTTCTTTTTTCTTCTTTCTGGTGTTTCTTACATCTTTAATTGTGAGCGGATGTGGTTCATTATTTAATTGTGTGCCTCTACAGTCGCATATTCCATAGGAATTTAAACAAAATGAGGATCATATCACTAGAAACTTCTAGTATAGGGAGTCCAATTCTTCAGGCCCTTTAATTCCCCAAAGCAAAACGTGCATGATGTGTTCCCCGCACCTCAAAGTGGATGAAAAAGGGTTGGAAATTGACCTTTTTTTCTTTCTTACAATTATCAGCAAATATATTACAACAACAACAATAACAAACTTAGTGTAATTCCTCAAACAAAGTTGGAGAGGGTAGTGTGTATGGAGATCTTACCCCTACCTTGTATAGATAGAGAGACTATTCTCGATAGACCCTCGGCTGAAGACAAGCATAATCACAACAATTATAAAAATAAATACGGTACTGGAGAAGCCATGAAAAAAGCAGGAATAAAACAAGATAATGAGATAATCGAAGCACAAGAAACAACTGGTAGTATTAAAATCTAAAGAAAATAAAATAAGCGAATAATACAGATACATCGGGTATGCATTAGATAGATGCTCGACTACCTACTAGCCATCTACCTTAATTCTCGACCTCCACACTCTCCTAGTAGGGGTCATTTCTTCGGTAAGTCGCAACTGTGCTATGTCATGCCTAATTATCTCTCTGTAATACTTCTTAGGCCTACCTCTACCTCTCCTCAAGCCCACCATGCCCAACCTCTCACATCTCCTTACCGAGGCATCTGGACATCCCCTCTTCATATGCTCAAACCATCTTAAACTTGCTTCTCGCATCTTGTCCACTAGGAGGCTTCACCTTGTCGCGAATATCTTCATTCCAAATCTTATCTCTCGTAGCATGCCTGCACATCCATCTCAACATCCTCATTTCTGCTATTTGCATCTTCTGGACATAAAGAATTCTTGACTGACCAACATTCTGCTCCATACAACATAGTCGGTCTAACAACCACTCTGTATAATTTACCTTTAAATTTTGACGGCACGTTCTTATCACACAAGACACCAGATGCTAGCCTATATTTCATCTACCCGTTCTAATACGATGTGATATCATTATTGATCTCCCCATATCCTCGGATTATCTATCCAAGTTACTTAAAGCTTTCTCTCTTGGGGATAACTTGTGAATCAATCCTCACTTCCACGCAAGCCTCTTGAGTTACGTCACTGAATTTGCACTCCAAGTACTCTATCTCAATGCTGCTCAATCTAAAGCCTTTCGGCTCCAGGGTATGTCTCTAAACCTCCAACCTAATGTTAATACCGGCTCGCGTATCAATACTATGTTATCTGCAAATAACATTGATAGAATTTAAGGGTCCACCAAACTATATAGAGAACCGGGTTCTCTATTAGTTTTCACAGAATGCACGCACACTGCAACAAGTAAATGACACGAACGAATTATATGTGGAAAATTCCCAGCTCAACGGGATTAAAAACCACGACCTATCCTTGTAGGATTTCAACTTCACTACTGAGCAACTTTAGATTATAACCTAGGAATTAACCTCTTAATCCCTCACTAACTTGTAACACTCTATTACAAGCCACTTTGTAATTACTCTATTACAAAGACTTAACTACTCGACTAAATCTAGCCAAGACACAAACACAAGGGTTTATGATTTACAAAAGGTTTCCTACACAATGCTTCTAACTAAACAAAGTAGGAATTACAAGTAAAGAACTTCAACAAAGGTACAACACAACTAAGTACGTATAGTAACTCAATACGGGGAACTGGTTCGTTGCTATGTTGTTCTTTGTTGTTGATGCCCTGGAGAGTCACTTGCAAGATTGATAGATGAATTGAGAGAATGCTTGATCAATTCTTGAATGTGCAAGTGCTTTTGTTTTACCTTCCTTGATGTTGATAATACATTTGTGACATCACTTAGAACGATGTAAGCAAGTTAGGTAAATGGCATTCCCCATAAAGTTGACTGCTGCACTGTTTCTGTACTGTAGCGTGTGTAGGCAATAACTTTACAGCTGGGGCAGTTGATTTGTACAGTCTCCTCGGGAACTGGTAGCTATCTATTCCCTCTATTGTTCCTTTGACTCTAAAGAGTTGAACTGTGTCCCCAACTGGAGACTTGTTGATCTTTAAGTTCTTGAGGATGTGCATTAGTTTCCTTATCCGGTTCTTAACATTAAGTTTGTTAGATCATCAAAACAGGGATACACATATAACCTATCAATTTCCCCCTTTTTGATCATGACAAACTTATAATTCAAGTTCCCCCTAAGAACCAGAATGACATTGGCATTTCCTGTATTCCCACTGAATCTGAATCTGAATCTGTTTCCCATCCTGCCCCCCCTGAATTATTTTTCCCCCTTTTGGCATCATAAAAAGATTAGTAATTGGCTTTAAGCAACAAGAAGTCTAGCTTGAGTTAACTCATGCCACTTGTGTGCACACAACATGACTAAAAACAGAGCATAAAAGCAAGACATATACAACAAAAAGGGAAAAGCTTCCATTAAACAATTTGGATTTTAAGACAGGGACCAGATTCAATGTTGCTAACGACCATCCACAATTCAGAAAAAAAAGAGAAAACAAGTACCACAAACATCATCATAAACTAGCAAAAAAGATCGACACTTAAGACTTGACACTGAGGGGACACTATCTAGGGAGCACTGGAAGGAGAGGGCTTAGAGGCAGAGGCAAGGGTTTGGAGGACTAATTCCATTCGAGCATTCGCCGACATTTTCTCATTGAGTAGTTTCTCTTTAAGGTCCTCCACCTGTTTCTTGAGCTCGACATTCTATTTGGTCAGATGGGAAACTTCTTCGCTTTGAGAGCTACTGGAATCAGGTGCCTCCTGAAGCTGACTCAACTGATTCTCAAGAATAACATTCCTTGCTTTCAAGTGCTTTATCTGAGCAGTGGCACTGTTCCGAGTGTTGATCAACTGAGAAATGGTAGAAGTGCTTCCAACTCCCCCAACCTTATCAATGCACTCACATTCTTCGAGAGTGGACTTGGAGAAAGTTTGCTTCTTAGTGCCCACTTTAGCTTGTCCTAGAGGAACCATGAAGTACTCAAAAACCTTGTGAGAAGGAGCCCATAAGGCAGCCCATGATTACTGATAGAATATATGAGTCCACCAAACTATATATAGACCAGGTCCTATATAGGTTTCCACAGATAAGGCTAATGCAACTGTAAGTAAATGGAACGGGGAACTTTTACGTGGAAAAATCCCTGCTCAAGGAGATCAAAAAACCACGGCCTACACTGGTAGGATTTCAACTTCACTATGAGCAATCTTTAGATTACAACCTAGGAATTAAAATCTTAATCCCTCACTAACTTGTAATACACCTATTACAAGCCACTTTGCAATACACCTATTACAAAGGCTTCACCTCATGACTAACTCTAGTCACGACACAAACACTAAATGTTTATGGTTTACAAAGGGTTCCTAATTAAAGCTTCTAGATAAGCAAAGTAGGAATTACAATGAAGGAAAATTACAAAGTTACAACTCAACTAAGGACATACAAGATACATGTTGTAGGAACTGGTCCGTAGTGGTGTTGTACTTTGTTCTTGATGCATTTGAGAATTGAATGCTTGATTGTCAAATGCTTAGAATGCTTTAATGAATTCTCAAGTGTTCAAGTGATGTTTTGTTGTAATGTTTATTGTTAATACCACTTGGATGACATCACTTGAATGATGTAGTCACTTGGTTGGTACAAGGTCCTTCCCAATGAGAAGTGACTGGTGCACTGTGCTGCACTGTTTGCGTGCAGTGCAGGCAGTCACTTTCCAGCTGTAGAGAGTTGACTTCGTACTGTTGTCAGGGGAACCCAAGGGGATCAGGTCCATGTGTTGATTCTTTATCTTCTAAATTCATAGCAACCCACATAAGCTTGAGTCCGTTGATTGAGTTGTGTACCAAGTGTATCGGGTTCCTTATCTGGTTCTTTGACAGTAAGTTTGTTAGATCATCAAAACATGAAGCTAAGGTACTATAAACCCATCAATTACCATCTTTGAGCTCTGCCACTTTCTGCATGTGCTCTATCATGATCACAGGCAAGTTGATGGTAGTGAAATTGTCCAGTGCTTCCATAAGAACCAGGTCTACACGAGAAGTAATGGATCTTCTCTCAGCACGAGGGAGCAAGACCTTGTTCACCATCTCAAATAACAATTGGTACACTTGAAGGAGGGCCTTAATCTGTACCCGTTCCCCTTGCTAACCTGCTCTGTCCTTCAGGATAGCGTTT